AGTGAGTGGGAGCTCTGTAGCATTTCTCATATTATATGTGGATGACATACTATTGATGGGAAATGATATAGAATTCTTGGAAAGCATAAAGGCCTACTTGAACAAGTGTTTTTCAATGAAGGATCTTGGAGAAGCTGCTTATATATTAGGCATCAAGATCTATAGACATAGATGGAGACGCCTCATTGGTCTTTCACAAAGTACGTACCTTGACAAGATATTGAAGAAGTTCAATATGGATCAGTCCAAGAAGGGGTTCTTGCCTGTATTGCAAGGTATGAGATTGAGCACGGCTCAATGCCCGACCACGGCAGAAGATAGAGAAAAGATGAGTGTCGTCCCCTATGCCTTGGCCATAGGGTCTATTATGTATGCCATGCTGTGTACCAGACCCGATGTAAACCTTGCCGTAAGTTTGGTAGGAAGGTACCAAAGTAATCCTGGCATGGAACACTGGACAGCGGTCAAGAATATCCTGAAGTACCTGAAAAGGACTAAGGATATGTTTCTCGTTTATGGAGGTGACGAAGAGCTCGTTGTAAAGGGTTACGTCGATGCTAGTTTCGACACAGATCTGGATGACTCCAAGTCATAAACCGGATACATGTATATTTTGAATGACGGGGCAGTCAGCTGGTGTAGTTGCAAGCAAAGCGTCGTGGCAGGATCTACATGTGAAGCGAAGTACATGGCAGCCTCGGAGGCAACACAAGAAGCAATCTGGATGAAGGAGTTCATTACTGACCTAGGAGTTATTCCCAATGTGTCGCGCCCGATGACTCTCTTCTGTGACAACACTGGAGCTATTGCCCTTGCCAAGGAGCCCAGGTTTCACAGGAAGACCAGGCATATCAAGCGTCGCTTCAACTCCATTCGTGAAAAATGTTCAAAATGGAGACATAGATATTTGTAAAGTGCATACAGACCTGAATGTCGCAGATCCATTGACTAAACCTCTTCCTCGAGCAAAACATGATCAACACCAGAACTCTATGGGTGTTCGATTCATCACAATGTAACTAGATTATTGACTCTAGTGCAAGTGGGAGACTGTTGGAAATATGCCCTAGAGGCAATAATAAAATGGTTATTATTATATTTCCTTGTTCATAATAATTGTCTATGTTGTTCATGCTATAATTGTGTTATCCGAAAATCATAATACATGTGTGAATACATAGACCACAACATGTCTCTAGTGAGCCTCTAGTTGACTAGCTCGTTGATCAATAGATGGTCACAGTTTCCTGACCATGGACATTGGATGTCATTGATAACGGGATCACATCATTAGGAGAATGATGTGATGGACAAGACCCAATCCTAAGCCTAGCACAAGATCGTGTAGTTCATCTGCTAAAGCTTTTCTAATGTCAAGTATCTTTTTCTTAGACCATGAGATTGTGCAACTCCCGGATACTGTAGGAATATTTTGGGTGTGCCAAACGTCACAACGTAATTGGGTGGCTATAAAGGTGCGCTACGGGTATCTCCGAAAGTGTCTGTTGGGTTGGCACGAATCGAGACTGGTATTTGTCACTCTGTATGACGGAGAGGTATCTCTGGGCCCACTCGGTAAGACATCATCGTAATGAGATCAATGTGACTAAGGGGTTGGTCACGGGATGATGTGTTATGGAACGAGTAAAGAGACTTACCGTAACGAGATTGAACGAGGTATCGGTGTACCGACGATCGAATCTCGGGCAAGTAACGTACCGATTGACAAAGGGAATTGTATACGAGATTGCTTGAATCCTCGACATCGTGGTTCATCCGATGAGATCATCGTGGAACATGTGGGAGCCAACATGGGTATCCAGATCCCGCTGTTGGTTATTGGCCGGAGAGTTGTCTCGGTCATGTCTGCATGGTTCCCGAACCCGTAGGGTCTACACACTTAAGGTTCGATGACGCTAGGGTTATTAGGAAGATTTGCATGTGATTACCGAATGTTGTTCAGAGTCCCGGATGAGATCCCGGACGTCACGAGGAGTTCCGGAATAGTCCGGAGGTGAAGATTTATATATGGGAAGTCATCATACGGTCACCGAGAATATTCAGGGGTATGCTGGTATTGTACCGGGACCACCGGAGGGGTTCCGGGGGTCCATCGGGAGGGTCCACCTGCCCCGGAGAACCTTATGAGCTGTAGGTGGAAGGGAACCAACCCCTAGTGGGCTGGGCGCCATCCCACCCTAGGGCCCATGCGCCTAGGGTTTGGGGGGAACCCTAAAGGGGGGCGCCACCCTTGCTTGGGGGGCAAGCCCCCTCCCCCTTGGTCGCCGCCCCCCTCTAGATCTCATCTAGAGGGGACGGCCCCCCTTCCCCCTTCTCCCTATAAATAGAGGGGCGAAGGGGGGGCTGCAGCACCACATCCAAGGCGCAGCCCCTCCCCTCCCCAACACCTCTCCTCCTCCGCGTGAGCTTGGCGAAGCCCTACCGGAGAACTGCCACTCCATCACCACCACACCGTCGTGCTGTTGTTGGAGCCTTCTTCCTCAACCTCTCCCTCCTCCTTGCTGGATCAAGGCGCGGGAGACGTCACCGGGCTGCATGTGTGTTGAACGCGGAGGCACCGTTGTTCGGTGCTTAGATCGGATTCGGCCGCGATCTGAATCGCTACGTGTACGACTCCTCCAACCGCGGTCTTGCAACGCTTCCGACTCGCGATCTTCAAGGGTATGAAAATGCACTCCCCTCTCTCTCGTTGCTAGTTACTCCATAGATTGATCTTGGTGATGCGTGGAAAATTTTAATTTCTGCAACGATCCCCAACACTTGCTGCTATACATACTGGACCAATTACTAGAGGTCGCGCACGCTGATTGAATTACCAGGTACTTTTGTTTCTTGGTAACGATTCTAATGCTCATGAGAATATGATACTGCCTAAATTGGATACATTTGTTTTGCTTACAAATGAAGGGCCTAGCTTGGACAAGAAAGATGAACCTTGGAGCAAGTTCAAGCATGGAGATGATGGCATGCACAAGGGGAACAAAAACGGAGTTACAAGTGATGATTCCAGGACTTTGAAGCCACCATAATGAGTGCATGAAGACTTGGACGAAATATACAAGATGCCACTCCATAAATTTCGTCCAGAGGCTATTCTACATGCCGCGTCACCTTATTTTTGGGCCAGACACATATAATTTCGAAATACTTAATTATAGGTTGTTTTTAGAGTCCGTATGTGTGGGGAAACAATAGTTAGGGTTGGTTTCGGACCCCTCCTCCAAGGGCCACGAAATTCCCCCTCTTTCCTCCATATATACAGCCCTTAGGGCATCGTTTAGACTTGGGATTTTGTTTAGATTAAAAGTTCGCCATAGCTGCAACTTCACGTACTTCATTTGTGTTCAACGACCAGACCAAGGCATCACAGAACCCCACTTGATCAATAAAGCTTTCCTCTTTTATTCGCAATATTCAGATTGCAATTTCAGTTTCTTGCTTATTCTTCGTTTGCTCGCAGGAAATAGACCCTCGTGGTCAGGTTGATCGTGCTCCGACGTGGTTAATAACCTCTCGGAGTTGGTTTAGCGATTACTAAGGCGCGACGTCCTCGCACGTTCGTAGTCGGATCGTGAAAGTCTACTTCACCATAAACGATAGTCACCATCTCATCAAAAGACGGGACACCTTCGCCCCTATCAAGTGGTAGGCACAAAATCCTTGGCACAAAGACGCGGCTTGAATGGAGTTCCGTCCCTTGGCCTTGGTCGGGCACCCCCATCCCTTGAGATCGCACTGATAAGCTGTGTTCCTCGGCCTGCACTGAGATCTCTCTGGGAAATGGGCAGCTTGTGCGTTTCTAGTATGGTCGTTGGTTGGAAGGCATTACTCCACTCAATATTGCTCCTGATCTGTCCGTCATGGCGCGACGGAAAAATTTAACTGTGAAGGAGGCACTTGATCGTGGCCGCTGGATGAAGGGCATGGAGAGGATTGCTTCTGAAGAGCTGCTCGACCAATTTGTCAAGTTATGGGAGCTGCTCCAACACATAGTGCTCTCTGTTGTCCCCGACTCCATTCGGTGGAGGTTCTCCGCTGCCACCTCCTACAAGGCTTAGTTTTTAGGCCGCAATTCTGAGCCGCAACTGCTCTCTGTGTGGAAGGGCAGGGCCGAGCCGAAGGTTAAATTCCACCTCTGGTTATTGTCTAGAACAAAATCGGGACGGCTGGTAGGCTTGCCACGAGGGGATGGCCACACACCGAGAAGTGCACGTTCTATGATCAGATCATCTAGTCGGCTGCCCATCTTTCTTTGAGCTGCCCTTTTGCCCACGAGGTTTGGTTCTCCTTTCAACAAGTGCTCCTGAGGCTACTAATGTTGCTTCAACCTCAATAACTATTAAGGATTGGTGGAAGAGGGTTTGGAGTCTACGCAACAACCCAACTACACGCACGCAGATCACCTCGGCTGTTTACGTCGCTTGGAATCTTTAGAAAGAGAGAAATAGGCAGTCTTTTGAAGGAAAGAGATGCTCCCCCGAGACAGAGATGAAATAGCAATGTGCCAATGTTCAAGGAGGCTACTGTTTAGTGTGGGTTGTATTTCCTTTTCTTGTTTCCTGAGTTTTTGTTCTTCGTAGTGTGTGGTTCTTGATGCTCTGTGCAACGACTAGAACTACTGCCATGCACCTTCAAGAAAAAAAAGGTTGGCTTTCAGACTGTGAAAACGAATCACCACCTGAGCCCTGGCAATAGTTGCCGGTTGCTAAAAAACTGGAGTATATTTTCGTGGAGATGTTGTAACATGATTGCAACTGGTATGCAAGATAAGTAACTGAACGCCAAGCCAACCACCCGGCATAGACCGCGTATACAAAATAAAGAGTAGGCTTCACTCATGAGTGAAGAACGGCACCTCAAACTCTCCAAACTCTAGCGTTGTATCGAATTGCTAACACACAAGCTCGTGCCCGTCGTCCACATCAAATTTATGCTTCGATTATTTCCGTCTCACGCTCACCGTGTATATCATTATCAGCTCACGACGACGGCTGCTCCGCGGTTGCCGAAGGTTCAGCCTCTAAGGTGGGTGAATCAGAAGGCGCCTCCTCGGGCGCGGCCGGTTCCACAACGGGGGGGCTCGACTGGACCGAGAATGCCGCGGCGGCCGGCTGGAACTTGGCGACGTAGTAGCTGAGAGGCGGGCCGGAGTATTGGGTCTGCACGGGCGGCTGGTTCTTGCTCACCTGGATGAGGATGGACGCCGCCCCGGCGACGAAGATGAGGGCCAGCCCGCCCGTGAGCGCCGCGGTGTTCTCGGACCCATCGGACGACGTCCCCGCCGTGCCGGAGCTGATGGCGCTCTCCGCCACGTACACCGCCGGCTGCGCGCGCGCGATTACGCCGTCAGATTGGGATGCCGAGAAGGAGGAAGACAAGGCCCTTGACAAGAATGGAATAGGTAGTAGGAGTAGGTTGCGCGTACCTCGATGGAGTAGATGTTGGTCTGGCCGGCGGTGTCCTTCTCGACGAGGCCGGTCCATCCTTTCTTCTTGGGAGGGAAGGTCCCCACGACCTTGGTCCTCTCCTCCGCCAGCCACTCCACGCTCAGGCTCCCGACCTACGCCGCAGGCATATTCAAGTTCAGATAACAGCAGCAGCAGCAACAACAGCAAGACACGAGTAGCTAGATATGTCCCGTACCTCCTTCTCCGGGGCGCACTCCACGTCGTTGCACTCGGAGTCGTCCGGAGACGAAGAAGCATTGCAGGACAGCGTCAAGAACCTGTTGCCGCCGGTGATGCCCCCTCCTCCTCGCGGAATCGTGGCCTGCTGGGGCTTGCTGCTCCTGAGGAGCACGCAGCTGCTTGCGGAGAGCATGGATTGGGCAGGGCAAGCCATCTTCATCTTCTCTCAATTCTCTCAGTCTCTCTCGCTCGCTCGCTTGCTCTAGCCTTACACACACACACACACCAGAAAACGAGTGAGTGGGAGGATATGGCTGTGGACTCGTGAACACCACAGAATTGCGAGGTACTCGTGGCCTCGGGGCTTTTGTGGAGAGATTTATTTTTCTTTTGGCTTTTCCTCTCCGCTTACCTGCGTGTGGATGGTCAGTCGCCACGTTCTCCTGCTGGTTGCTACGGAATTTTCTCTGGAGCTGCCAACATTTTCTGTAGGTAATTTGGTGGACACTGGCTCCAAATCTCTTCATCGTCGCGTCGCTCCTAGCGGTCGGCCCATCGGCTCTCGTGTGCGTACGCTGTTTTTTTTGTGTGCAGGAAATTAAATGCTTTTAATTTATTCAAGCCTCAATGGCCCCCTACATGATGAGCCATCAAGCTAGTCGTCAGGAAGCCAGGGGGAGGCCATCCAGCAACTCGTCACCTCCGGTGTGCGTGCAAGTTTTGCACACAGGTGGGTCGAGAAGTTGAAATTTCTCGATATATGTTGAATAAAGAAAGAATGAAACGACGAGGTTAGCCCTTCAATCTCGGAAAGAATTGACGCTATCGGAGAGCGCAAAAACCTGCGCGAGTCCCAGAGGTGAACCACTCTAAGCAATCCGCTTCAAATACCACTTGCCATGACCGGAAAGACCATTACACACACACATACATGCACGATGTAACTAAATATACTTGGAGATCCTAGCTACTAGCCTAGTAGCACGGGCCCACCATGCGGAAAACCCTCGGGCGACAGGGAAGGCGATCATGAGGGCAAATTTGCGCTAAGGTTTCTCTATGGGGGTGGTGTCTACTCCGATAGCCCGTGAGTCAGCGACAATGCTGATTCTAGGGCGGATCAGTGGCAGGAGTGTGTATATGCTATGGAGAAGCCATGGAAGATTAGAGAGGAAGCAGAGGCGCTGCGACCCCAAAAAAGTTGCCCACACTGAACATGAAGGCAGGGAATCCTCCCAATTTCCAGCTACTGGGAAATTCTCAGAGGAAGCAAAAAGCCTCTCTGGCGTCTAGGTGAGATGATCTTGACACAGGAAGAACAAGAGGGACTAATCTTTGAAGAACCAGCCTCGGAGCAAGCCCATGTTGCGAGGTGGTCGGTGGTGGGCAAAGTGTGCTCGCCGCACCCCGCTCAATATACATGCACTAGAGAGAATCATGCAGATGGCTTGGGGTGCATCTTGAAGCACAGTTGAAGGATATAGGGAGTAACATATTTATGGTTCGGCTTGGAAGTGAAGGTGGTTGGAAACATGTGTTGAGTAATGGACCATGGTAGTTCAATTTCAGTGTTATAGTCATCAAGGATTACGAAGGAAATATTCGGCCGTTGGAGATGGTCTTCGATACTATTGAGGCATGGGTTAGGAAGGCTGATCTCCCATTGCACAAGCGGTGTGATTTGGTAGAACTCTTGGGAACTGGCTAAGGGAAGTGGTTTGAGCTGATGTTGATAAAGGTGGAATGGCACGAGCGAAATATCTTCGTGGTTGTGCAAAAATTTCCGTGTATGAGGTGCATCGTTTCTGGCTTGAATCTTGACAAAAAGATCGAGTCTGGACGTGGGTTGACTTCTGCTACGAATGGATCCCTTACTTCTGTTCTGAATGTGGGAGACTGTTACATGTCGATGCAGTTTGTGAGCCGCTAGTCGACCCTCCAGCAAATGGGGAGAGTGGTTTCATGCTTTCCCAAGGCATAGTAGAGCACAAAAGAGTAACTCCCGCGGGGGAGCTACGAGCAACAATAACAACAAGGGGAGTTCATGGATTGGAGATGGTGACTGTGGTGGCTAGGGCATGCTACTATTCGAGATATACCTACTAAGTGGAACCTCTGCCACGAATTTACCCTGTTGGCCGACTTCCGCACTGGCGGTGGGCGCGGTCCTAATCGTGATGAAGTGTGTAGCCCAAACAAGGAGAAACATATAAGAGATGGACGTGATGGAAAGGACCTATGGGGGAAGTTAAACAACAAGAGGGAAAGGGACCTAATACACGACCTAAAGCAACGACAGGTTGGTAGAGCTCAAGAGTTTGAACGCAAGTCTGACCTATTGGGGAACGTAGTAATTTCAAAAAAATTCCTACGCACACGCAAGATCATGGTGATGCATAGCAACGAGAGGGGAAGAGTGTTGTCCACATACCCTCGTAGACCGTAAGCGGAAGCGTTATGACAACGCGGTTGACCAATGTAGTCGTACGTCTTCACGATCGACCGATCCTAGTACCGAACGTACGGCACCTCCACGATCTGCACACGTTCAGCTCGGTGACGTCCCGCGAACTCACGATCCAGTAGAGCTTCGTGGGAGAGTTTCGTCAGCACGACAACGTTATGACGGTGATGATGTTGCTACCGGAACAGGGCTTCGCCTAAGCACCGGTACGATATAACCAAGGTGGATTATGGTGGAGGGGGGCACCGCACACGGCTAAAAGATGAACTGATCAACTTGTGTGTCCATGGGGTGCCCCCCTCCCCGTATATAAAGGAGTGGAGGAGGGGGAGGGCCGACCCTCTCTATGGTGCGCCCTGGGGGAGTCCTACTCCCTCCGGGAGTAGGATTCCCCCCTTTCCTAGTAGAAGTAGGAGCCCTTCCAAGTAGGAGTAGGAGAGGAAGGAACGAGGAGAGAGGGAGGAAGCAAAGGGGGGCCGGCCCCACTCCCAATTCGGATTAGGCTTGGGGGTGTCGTGGATCTAAGACTGATAGTAGAATGGGGGGTAGGTATGAGGAGGCAAGATCCTAGCTATGGAGTAGTTGTACACACGAGTTTTACGAGTTCAGGCCCTTCTCGGAGGAAGTAACAACCCTACATCTCGGTGCCCTGAGACGGTCGACTGGATTATATGTGTGTGTGAGTTTACAAAAGTGCAAACCCTTGTCCCAGAGGAGGGGGTGGCTTATATAGAGTGCGCCGGGACCCCAGCTCCCCTCTGTTACACAGGGTTCAATGTTCATAAAGGTGGGGCGTTACTGGTAACGTCTACAATAAAGTGTTATAAATGCCCATAAAGCTATGGTTTAAGTCACGACCGTTGCAGAGTGGAGGGCTTCTCATCTTCAAGGTGGTCGAGTGTCTTCAAGGAAGTCGAGTAGGCACATCTTCATGGTCGAGTGGATGATGTTTTCTCTTCGACTGCTTCTGATTCTTTGTAGAGATGTCCTTGGGGAGTGTCGGTGTCAAAATCGGCGGATCTCGGGTAGGGGGTCCCGAACTGTGCGTCTAGGCCGGATGGTAACAGGAGGCAAGGGACACGAAGTTTTACCCAGGTTCGGGCCCTCTCGATGGAGGTAAAACCCTACGTCCTGCTTGATTAATATTGATGATATGGGTAGTACAAGAGTAGATCTACCACGAGATCGGAGAGGCTAAACCCTAGAAGCTAGCCTATGGTATGATTGTTGTTCTGTATGTTGTCCTACAGACTAAAACCCTCCGATTTATATAGACACCGGAGAGGGTTAGGGTTACACAAAGTCGGTTACAATGGTAGGAGATCTGCATATCCGTATCGCCAAGCTTGCCTTCCACGCCAAGTGTTGATGATATTACTGCTGGGCGTAAACCGTCCTATCTGGGCCGGGTCAACTTCATCAGTAGTTCCAGAAGTGATAAAGCTCAAGAAGGTAGATGAGGGCCTAAGGCCCGTAGTCGGTTCAAGACTTGTAGTTGTAAACCGGAAGTTGTATGTAAGCTTGTACTGTAAGTTAGGAATAAGGAGAGACCAACCCGGATACGAATATCAACCGGTGTTGGGACTCTGTGGAGCGATGGATGTCACCCGTGTATATAAGCAGGGCCGGTCCTGAGATTTTGGGGGCCCGGGGCGAACTAAAAATTGGGGGCCCTTAATATATATACACTCATTGTAATATATGTATATCTATGTATATTTTTTTCTCAAAAATGTATATATAAATTATTACCAGTAACACTTAAATGCATCCAAAATCAGTATGTGCATGAAATAATTTATACATATTACCTTGAAATTTCTTCTAACATTCCTCGATGCAAAGTCACATATGATGGGGTCGATGTTAATCCCATCCAATAATTTCTTCTCGATGCATAATGTAGCCAAACCATTTAATCTCTCTTGAGTTATTGTTGACCTCAAATAATTCTTCAATAATTTAACTTTGAAAAGCTTCTTTCGGCCGATGCGACCGTCACAAGCACAGTAATTAAGATGTGATAGACAATGGAGATATTGGGATAACAATCAACTTCTCTGGCATGCCCGAAAATCTCCATAGCAGACATTACACCATCTGGCAAAGTGAATCTTATAATCATCAATTCAGAAATAAGATTTTTTTTAGGGAAAAAGCAGGTGTACTGCTATTGCATCCAGAAATAAGATTGTATACCTCAACATTAGATGAACCATTAAGAGAAAGTTTCTGCAAATTTTATGCAACATTCTTCAAGTTCATTGTCACTTAATGACATCAGGTTGCCCGATAAAAATCTGAATATATCTTTAAACACCATGAATTATTTGAATCTATCATTCAAATAAGTGATCGCTGTATCAGTCAAAAACATTAAAATATTTCCTCTTACTGCAGGACGTCATAACAACACACACAATCCTGAAAACAAAACAGTTTGTTCTATCAGTTATTGAACAGTGCCGGCTATGCATCAAAGGAATTTTTTTTGTATCAATATTATATGAATATATTGCAATACCTGACGGAGTGATGATCAAACTTCAGTGCGTGTGTGTATACAATACACAGGGGGTCTGCACAGCGCGTAGAGTCTGCAGACGATTGAGGGAGAACAATTGAGCAAATGCCAAACAGGGCCCGGAATTGAAATCAGCGGCGAACATACACAAATTAGGAAGGATATTACCATGGGGTTGGGGGCGGCGAGGCGGCCAGGCGGGAGTGCGTGCGTGTGTGCACGGCGGCGTCGG